GAGTACACAAACATAGTCAATCTGTTATTTTACAGATGAATGATTCTAATCCTACATCATGCAGTAACTAATCCTGTATTAAAACATTTACGAATTGTGATGTATATGGAGTAAGGAGTCATGTTCATTAAAACTGATTATTGAAATGTTAATTTTTATTGTAGTGTTTATAGCTACAGTATGCAGCGTTTTTGTACAAGCTTATAAATATAGTAAACATAAAATGAAACAGATCATCTTTTGGTGTAGTAGAAATGCTGTGTTGCTTACTTTGTTACTGTTTTAAAATTACAGTTACTTAAATTTAAATTGCTTGAATAAAATCCTGGTTCCATTCCAGGAAGTAACAGTTTTGCTGTTGATCTCTTTGACCATGTCCAGACATGCAGGGGTGTGTTTGTGCCTGAGCATAAACCCCTGCATGTGTTCTTTGTTACAGATCACATTGTCCTGCTTTGGGCAAACTGCCCCTGCCCTGCTCCTTCTGGCTACCAATGTGCTGGAGCGGCAGGGGCACAAATGGAGTAGTAGAGACATTCTGGCCAGCAGCAGTGTCTTGCTGGAGAACCAAGCCTCTTTGTTCCGGTTCATGCTATTTTTGCATGCTTTGCACCTTTTTTTTTCTGGCAATTTTTTTTTTTTGCTACCGGGAAATACAGGTAACACATTTTGCCCCTCTACTGCAAATTTACAGTGTGGGGCATGTTTTAACATTCCACGTGTATGGTTTGTGGCATCACAGAAATTTATGGTATCACAAACCACACATGCCTGCACATCTGAACATGACCTTTGAGTTCAGGATTTGTCCCTTTATAAATAACTACAGCATTTTAAATTGATTAGAGCTAGCAGTAAAAAATCAGCAAGGTTTGATGTGAAAGATCTGTATTTAGTTTGTTGCCAGTTTATGTTCCTAAAATGTTTTCTGAATCAAGAAAAAAGAGAACGCAGGCACAGCCCTATGTGTAATGTATTTTAGGGGGATGTATTCAGAACTGTAATTGTATGTTTAGACATCCCTTAGATGTTGCCTCAAGATTTTTAATTGATTCAGACTCTCTTAAACCCCAGTGTGAGAGCAGCAGGCAAGATGCTTATTCCTTTTAGATTATTTTGTATGCTTCTAGTTGCATTGTTTTTCTTTACTTGAACTGGAAAGTTATTTTTAGTGAAAAAGTCTATTTTACCCTTTCAAAGAGACGGAATGTCTGCTATTTTGTCCTGGAGCTCAGACATTTCCGACATGAGAAAAGCACAGTAGGCTAGTAGGGCATTGTCTCAATGATGTGCATTGTTGTTTGCCTAATCATGAATTAGAGCTCCTATAGTAAAGGCAGATATTTGAACTTGCATGGGTTGACAGAGACAAGAGTCTACTACTCGAGTGTAGCTTCTCTTTCTCCCGGGGGAAAACAATCTGTTTTTACTCTTCTGTGCTAAATGGCCTGAAGTTAGTGTTGGCAAGCACCCAGTGCCAATGTCTAACTAGTGGCCTGCACCTGCTCCAGTTATGAGCTCTCAGCAGGAGTTAGTTTGTGTAGATGGAGAAACTATCATAATGAGATCAGATACAGCATGGAGAAGGAGAAATGAGGGAACATGGAAGGAACAGAACAAAAGTAGAAAGATTTGTACAGTAGGTCATGGGGGGTGGGGGTTCATAAATCCCATCTGGCATGCCTATCTGCTTAAGACTTACTGTGAGTTGGCCATTCAGCCCAAAGATCTCATTGTGCTATGCATCTTATTAAAATAGCCAGGCCACATTAGAAGCCTGCAATAGATTGATGGATGGATGTTTTTATATACATCTTGCATTTTTTTTAAAGTATAATATTTTGCAGGTTTTTCTCTATTTCTTATTAAATGAAGGCAAGGTTTTTTTAAGGTGATGTCTTTCATTGGACCAACTGTATCGTTGGGATAAAGTTAGACAAGCTTTTGAATGTGAAGCATTCTTCTTCAGGTCTGAGGAGGAAAGCAAGCACAGCCATTTAAGAACAGTGGGCAGAGCTGTAGAATTCAAGGGGGGAGAAATTCCCGGAGGTAGCAGACAAATAATTAGCAGAATAATATTTTGTAACATGAAATATCTTAACACAGAGACATGTGAAATGGGGCAGAAAGAAAGGATGCAGTCAAAGATAAACTGATACAGTATCCATAGCAAACACCTAGCCATCATACCATATAACCCTCTTCTTGGGAAACTGTTGGAAAAATTATAATTTTGAGCCTGGTAAAGGCATTTATCACCTACCATAAATCTACAGCAAGTTTTTTTTTATTTCAAAAGCCATGCTTTCATTTTTTTAATGGAGAAAGAATACTTGAAAATGTGCTACACACACACACACACACACACACACACCCACCCCCCCACCCACACACCCTCTCTCTCTCTCTCCACACACACCCACCCACCCACCCACCCACTCTCTCTCTCTCTCTCAAACATCTGAAAAAGCTTTAATCATTCAGCATTAAGATTCAGTGCAACGAGGTCTGTGCTTCTCCCCACCACAGAAAATTTACTTTTTACCTCAGTGCTGAAATGCCAATGGTGATGAGTGAGTTAACAGTTATCAAATTTGGGAACCATTTACTGAACTGTGTAATTTTAACTTGAAAATTAGCGTAGGTTCTCTTATTTATTTATGACCTGGACTTTGTTAAATGGAAGCAGAGTTAATAGACTGAAATGCTGTCTGATTTTTTTTTCTCTTTATTTTTGGAAATTATTTCACTATAGGTCTGTTTCATCTGATTGAAGGTTATTTTAGAAATATCAAAACTACTCGGTGAATCTAAATGTAGATTTATTAATGATGAATGGAAAAGATTAATTTTTTTTATTTTGATTCCACAGTAGAACATGACTCTTGACTTTTAAATAGATCTTTCTATGGACTATGCAGTTTTGTGCATTTTAAATATCAGGAAGTCTCTTTGCTCATTCATTTTCAGACTCCTATTAAATAATCTTCCATTGCTAATTCATAGAGAAAACCTATTACTTTATGTTAAGCAATCTACGTAGGGAAAATGAGAAGTTTGTGAATAGTTAATATAATTTGGTCCTCTTCCAAATAATTTCTGTATTTCTTAGATCTCATTATATGGTATAAATCCTTGTGAAGTGAAGTGTTAATGTTCCCCAGGAGATGTTGGTGAGCCAAAAATTATTTGATTTAAATTTGAAATTTCTTAACATCCTGCTGGTAATGTATGCTCTATGATACATACATCAAAACAGTTTATCTTATGCAGTTAAAAAAAGACTGATAAAACATTTCTTCAGTTTTTTCATTACCATATGCCAAATATAACTTCACTGCTTTTGAGTGCTTTAGATTTTTTTCACTTGATATCCTATTATGAACGGAGTAGTCCAGATTGTGTTGGTGCCAAAACCTGACCACACCGTAAAAGTCTGCATCAACTTCCACAAGGTCAATGCCATTTCAAAATGTGATGCATACCCTATGCCCAGGATAGATGAAATGGTGGAGAATGCCAGGTATATCTCCACCCTGTACTTACCCAAAGGGTACAGGCAGATACCATTAGACCCAGCGTCCCATGAAATTATGGCTTTTGTAATACCCTGGGGACTTTATCGAATCTTGACCTTACCTTTCGAACTACATGGAGCCCCAACAACCTTCCAGTGATTAATGGACAGAATTCTCCATCCACACTAGGCATATGTGGCCACCTACTTAGATGATATTGTAATATTTGGAAACATGTGAACAGACCACCTCCAGCACCTGAGGGAGGTGTTGCAGTCCATATGCACAGCTGGGCTCACAGCCAGTCAGCATAAATGTCACCTAGGGTACATGGACACTAAATACCTAAAGTATATACTGCGCAGTGGCAAAATTAGGCCCCTGGTTGATAAGGTAAAGGCCTTGGTTGAGTTTGCAGTGCCAATGACAAAAAAAAAACCTGAAGCCCTTTCTGAGCTTAGGGAGTTATCAGTGGTTCATCCTACAGTTTGCTGACCTTATGGCACCACTAACAGACCTGTTGCAAAAAGGGACACTGCAAAGGGTCCAGTGGTCACCCAAATGTGAGACAGCATTTGGAACTGTGAAAGGGCTACTGTGCAGTGCATTGGTCTTGCACAGTCCTGACTTGACAAAAGAATTTATTGTACACATGGATGCTTTGGAGTGAAGCTTGGGAATGGTCCTCCCCCAAGACTTTGAGGATGAGGAACACCCCATCCTATACCTAAGTAGGAACCTCCTTTCCTGGGAACAAAGGTATGCTATAATACAAAAAAAAAAATGTCTGGTGATTAAATAGGTTAATCACTGTTATCTCCTAGGGGGTCATTTCCAGTTGGTCACTGACCATGCCCTATTGACATGTCTCAGTGCTATGAGGGAAGCTAACTCCGGGCTTGCAAGGTGGTACCTGGCAGTGAACACAGACTTCTCTCAAGAAGGGGGGCTGAATAAAGAAATGGAAGAATGCTCCACTCTCATTCACCCTCTGGGTCCATGAGAGTGTCTTTGTGAGCTGTCCTTTTTTTTTGTGAGCTGTTTTTTTTTCCTTGCGATTTCCTAGTTGGTTTAATAAAAGGTATCATTTTGGAACCAAGTGTTCTAGTTTTTTGTATGTCTTCTTGTCTCAGGCGAACACTGCTACCAAGTACACCCCTGAAACAAGGAAGATGCCGGATTTTAGCTGATTTTGGATTTTAAATGTCATTGCAGAACAACAAGAAAGATTTTTTGCCTCCTTGCCTGCCATCTGACACCTCCAGGGAAGGAATTCTACCTGATCTAAACATCAATGAGCTACTCAGTACAGCTCATAAAGACACTCTCATGGGCCCAGAGGGACAGCCTTCCAACTTCAGCTCCCTCTGTGCAAAAATGAAGTTTATTTTCCACCTATGGGGACTTTTTACCATCTTCTATCATCTATACTTTTCCCGGATCCCGATGAAGGGACTTTGATTCCAAAAGCTTGCAGAAAAGGACGTTTTTCTTGTGATTTCCCAGTTGGTGTTATAAAAGGTATCATTTTGGAACCAAGGGTTCTAGTTTTTCATATGTCTTCAGTATAGTAAGTAATTCTTAAATTCTTGTCATGCCTCGGCTTCTGTGATGCTCTGATTACATAGTTCTCTTCATGCCTTGCTAATAATTCCTTCAGCATTTCCTTTGGAGAACATCCTCATTCCTCTCCCCCTCCCATCCTTTTGGAGGCTCCACAAAAAGTCTTTGATATTTGTGGTCCTCTCCCTTGGCATTTTGTCTCTGGGATCTCATTCACAGACACCAGTTCAACTACCAGCTCTATGCTGCTAAGTCACACATCTAACTCTTCTCTATAGCAATCTCCTTCAGTTCAGACTGTTTCCATGATATATTCTTTTGGCTGTTTAGCCAGTGTGGCTTAAAACAAAGATCTTAATTTTCCTTTTCCTTTTTTAATTAGTGAAAAAGAACACAATCTTTCCTGCTGCTCGGATTCATTACCTGGGTGTCATCTTCAACTGATACCTACCTCTAGATCCTCACATCAATTCTTGCCAATTCTTTTTGCATAACATCTCTGAGATATGTCCTTTCCTATACATCTACACAGCTAAAACTGTGTTCCAGAGCCTCATTTTTTCAAATCTAATTCAGCTTTGACAACTATAGCCGTGGCCCTTTCTTGTTCATAAATGTTGCAAGAATCATCTTGTTAGCTCATCTCTTTGACTTTTATCACATTCCCTTCCATTCTGTATTGTATGAAACATAAACTACTTCTCTTTGCTTTCAAGACCCTTTATGCCGTGTGATTGCCCTACCTGTCATCTCTTATTTATGATGCAGATGATGACTCCTGTCTTCAGTCAGCTCACAATGCCATATTCTTTTCTCACTTGTTAATACAAAGATGTTTGTTTGAAAATTTATCTCCCATTCTGCTTCATATCCTTGGAAGGTGTTCTCCTTAAACATCTGTATAACTGCTTCAATATCTTCTTCAAAGCCTTCCCTAGCTCTCTCTTTTGCTGTGATGCCTTGACATGGGTCAAGCCACTGGTATACAAAGTTGACTGTCTGTCACGTTGACCAATCTTATGTCACTGTTTCCTTCCATTTCTCTATCTGTTCAGTTATTGTCCCTTGTTTCCCCTGTAAACGGTAATAAATTGACCTAGGTTTGTAATGACACCAAATTCAGTTTAAGGGATATGTGTGTAATTTGAAGGAATTTTGCCTCAGATATCCTGTTTTCTTTGATTCTGATATAGGTAACTTCTTGTAATTTTGGTGAATAGACTGCAATAAAATACTTTCCATGTGCTCATGCACATGACTTATGAGGAGAGGTTGGGGAAACTGGACTTATTTAGTCTAGAGAAGAGAAGACTGAGAGGGGGATTCAAAAGAGGATAGAGCTAGACTGTTCTCAGTGGTGGCAGATGACAGAACAAGGAACAGTGATTTCCAATTGCAGCAAGGGAAGTTTAGATTAGATATTAAGAAGAATTTTCTCGCTAGGAGGGTAGTGAAACACTGGAAAAGGTTACCCAGAGTTATTGTGGACTTTCCATCCTTGGAAATTTTTAAGACCCGGATAGACAAAACTTTGGCTGGGATGATTTGCAGATGATGGTTCTGGCCAAAGCCTTGGCTGGAATGATGGATGATTTGAACTTGATTCTTGCCAAAGGAGACAATCTAGTGAGCAACCTGAGGATCGAAGGGAAGCTAGGCGACAGTGACCATGAGACGATCACTTTTTCCATCCATTGCAAGATAGGGAAATCAGTCAGCAGGGTAGAAATCCTTGAGTTTAGGAAAGCTGACTTTTACAAGCTTAGGAGTTTGGTTGCCGAAGGCCCACGGGACCATGATCTGATGGGGAAGGGAGTCCAAGACGAGTAGTCGCTCCTCAAGGATGCAATCCTCAGAGCACAAGGGAAGTCCATTCCTGTTCGTAAGAGAGGTAGCAAAAGGTTTGGGATACTCTCTTGGCCCAATAGGTTATGGACCTCCTGAGAAGCTTATAAGGGATGTAAATTGGGAATTACCACCAAGGAGGAGTACACAGCAATAGCCTGCACCTGCAGGGAGCAGATTAGAAGAGCAAAGGCCGAAACCAAATTCAAACTGGCAATGGAAATCAAGAACAATAGAAAGTCCTTCTTTTAGATGTGTAGGAAGTCAGAAAAAAATAAGGGAAACGTAGGACCCCCTGCTGAATGTAATGGGACAGCTGATAAGCAAGACCCAGGAGGAAACCAAACTCCTAAATGAATACTTTGCATTGGTATTCCACCAGTCTAATGGTGTTACCCTGCCTGACAGGATACAACATGATCAAGGTGGTGATGGTCACCCACCCATAGTTGGCGAAGATCTTTTGAGGAAACACCTGGAGAGGCTCAATATCTACAAGTCAGCAGGACCGGATGAACTACACCCGAGAGTGCGAAAAGAATTGGCTGATGTCATCACACGACCAATGGCAAAGGTATTTGAGAACTCATGGCTCTTGGGAGAGGTTCCAGAAGACTGGAAGAGGGCCAATGTGGTGCCTATCTTCAAGAAAGGAAGGAAGGAAGGAAGACCCAGGGAGTTACAAGCCAATCAGTTTGACCTCAATCCCTGGAAAAATTCTGGAAAAAATTATTAAAGAATCTATTAGTGGTAGTCTAACTGTGAAGGCAGCATTCTAAAAGATAGCCAACATGACTTCTTTGTGGGCAGGTCATGCCTAACCAACCTTATTTCCTTCTAAGATCAGGTAACATGCCCCCTGGCTAAGGGAGATGAGGTAGATCTCATATACTTAGATTTCAGAAAGGCCTTTGACTTGGTCTCCCATGATGTCCTCATAGTAAAATTGGGGAACTGCAGCCTCAGCACCTTAATGGTCTGGTGGCTCGGAAACTGGCTCTGAGGCAGGACCCAGAGAGTATTAATAGACAGAACTGAGTCGATATGGCTCATGGTGATCAGTGGCATTCAGGGTTCAGTACTTGGACCAATGCTTTCAACATAATCATTAATGTTTTGGATTTGCATGTTAAATGCATCCTGGCAAAGTTTGCAGATGACACCGAATTATGGGGGAGTGTAGTCATGCTGGAGGATAGGCTGGGGATATAGGGTGACCTGGACAGGCTTACAAGGTGGGCAGATCAAAACCTGAGACGTTTAACACCGAGAAATGTAAAGTGCTCCATCTGAGAAGAAATAATCTACAACGCACATACAGGCTCGACAGTGCTACACTTGCTAGCACCTCAACCGAAAGAGACCTGGGGGTCATGATAGATCACAGAATGAACATAAGCCACCAGTGCGATGCTGTAGCCAGCAAAGCAAATAAGACACTGGCATGCATCTACCGATGCATCTCAAGCAAGACTAAGGATGTCATCCTCCCACTCTACTTGGCTTTGGTGAGGCCGCAGCTGGAGTACTGCATCCAGTTCTGTGTGCCACACTTCAGGAAGGATGTGGAGAAGTCTAAAGGAGGGCTGTGCGTATGATTAGAGGTTTGGAGAGCAGGCCATATGATGAGAGGCTGATAGACATGGGACTGTTCAGCCTGGAGAGGAGAAGACTTAGAGGGGACTTGGTGGCAGCCTATAAGTATATAAGGGACACACATCAGGGCCTGGGGGAACATTGGTTCACCAAGACACGCCAGGGGAAGACAAGGAATAATGGTCATTAATTGCTAGACATTTGTTTTAGATTGGACACAAGGAAAAACTTTATGGTTTGAGTGTCCAGGGTCTGGAACAGACTCCCCCCAGAGGTGGTACAAGCACCTACTCAAAATCTTAAAAAAAAGTCTGGATGTTCACCTTGCTGGGGTCATCTGACCCCAGCAGTCTTTCCTGCCCAAGTGCGGAGGGGCTGGACCTGATGAGTTCATGAGGTTCCTTCCAGCCTCTAACATCTATGAATCTATGATCTAGTTGGGGGTGGGTCCTGCTTTGAGCAGGGGGTTGGACTAGACCTCCTGAGATCCCTTCCAACTCTAATTTTCTATGATTTCTTTAATTTAAGTGATCTCACAATCTCTTTACATGAAGCAAAGCAGACAGGATTGTTTGTATATTGTTGTGGGAATTTGATTTTGGATGTATTCATAGTGTTGCAGACATTCTGCTGGTTGCTGTTGGGTTGGAGATAATGTCAAAACAGAGGATGAGGAAGGAACAAGTAAGAAGGCATATAGGGCCAAAAGATTGCAGAAACAAAATTTAAACTGGAGAAGCTGAAAATATTGGAGTACAAACAGCTCAGGATGGTGTAAGTAGCTGGGTTGGCTGGACCCCAGCCCTGCATGGTTCATCTTAATCCCTGGTTTAGTGCATATATATACACTGTGTAAATTTAGAGAGCCTTTAATCAATGTCAGCCAGCTAAAAGGACTAGTTAGTAGAAGGGAAGCACACAGGAGTTACAGGTATGAAGTGTCGTAGGACACTTACATCTTTTATAACTGTGTTATACATTGAATATAGAAACCGATTAGATTCTAATGATTGCATAAGAGAATTAATCACAGGTTACCACACAGATACCCGTACAGGTGTACCCTAGTTCATTACTTTGGTATATGTATCAATTAGCTGACCCCTTATTTTTTAACCTTCTTTCAAACCTCCCTTTCTTCCTGGAAGATGAGTTACTTATCTTCCAGGTGTGGTCTGCAAGGGCCTTGAAACTCCATGTCCATTATATTTTTTTGCAGCTGAACTGGGCCTGGTACTATATTCCAGGAAGAGAGAGGAAAGAGGTTAGAAACAGAAACTTAATTAAACTAAGTAGAGGGGTGAAGGGGGAGGGAGGCCTGCTAAAGTTTAGAAACAGAAACATAATTAAACTGCTAGAGATCTTGTTGAACCAAGGTATTGCTGAATGGAGGGCTTGTTGAACAAGGATTTTCATGAAGCCTTAGCAAGACAGTGTCAGGGGCACTGTTGTTCCTTGTTCTGTCACCTGCCACCACTGAGAACAGTCTAGTTCCATACTCTTTAACCCCCCTCTCAGTCAAGGGTACAAAACCTCTTGTCTACCCAACAGAAGGGACAGAAGTCACTAGCCTTAAACGAAGAATGTCAAACTCATTTGGTTCTGTGGGTCAGAAGACCCATGTGCTACGTAAGTGATGTTAAACCTTGCAGCTGCTGGAGCCACTATATTGGCACAGCTCTGGGACCCCTGCCTTAAACTAATTTCATATTTTGAAGACTGAAAGAGACTATTTGATCATTTAATTTCTACTGCTGTCTAGCTAAAATGCTACTCATTTTTGTAAGGCCGGTAGAAAAAATGAGCCTAAAGTCAGTTTCTAGAATGAATACTGATATATTAAACTAACATTCTTCCACATGAGTACTGCGAACTGCTTAGACTTAGTACAATTTATAGAAAGTTGAATGACAGCTCAGTTTAAACTCAAGTATTGGTAAGCACAGATAAAACAAGGGATTGCTTTCATGGCACCATAAGCTTGTGTGCTTAATTACACTAATGCTTTGAACTTAAGTTAAAATCACATTGCTATTTTTTATGTTTATATTCTCATCTCATCCTCCTTCTATCACTCTTTCTGTTTGTTGTTTTTGGAGTTATCTGCCAGATGGCTGAAATGTCAGTTGTCTTCCACTGATAGACATCACTGTATTTCTGTTAATAAATCTGAAGTAGAAAAATGTAAATCATTGGTTTCCAACTACTGGGTAAAGATCTACTTTGGGGTCCACTACTGATTCTAAGTACAGTGGGAATACATTGTAGAAAGTATTAGGTATTTCCTAGTGTAGACAGCTAGACATATGAGCTGCTTGGCTCTCAATGAGTCAAGCTAAAGCTGTGAAAAATGCATCTTAGAAGAAGTGCTGTTTATATCTAGCATATACTAATTCTATTTTGCACTTCCTTAAAACACAAAACATACTTTATCCCCTTTTTTCAAATATTTGTAGAGTTTTGTATATTTCTATCAATGTTATAATCTATAATATTACATTACCATCATTAGGGTAAGATAACTTGTGGTAGTAGACATGTATGAAGGGCCATAGGCTGGTAAAGTCTTATAAAAGTATAGGCCAGAATATCAAAAGTGGGGCCCTGCCGGTAGATAAAGTATGCCCATGATTTAGGCACCTAAACAAGTTGTTGATTTTTCCAAAAATGTTAAGGACATGCTAACTCTTAGAATTTTTCCAACTATTTGAGCTGGTCTAATAAAAGATATCAGATTTACCCAAAGAACGTTGTCTGCCTTAGGGTTTTACTGCATTTTTTAAAGTTGTTAGAGAATCAATTTCTGTTCTTGTCAGGTGGTTGCATGTATGTAAACTGAAAAAAGAACCATGGTCTAAATTTTTAAAGAAGATAGTTAATAGTTAGGGTCATAAAGTCTATATTGACATACATGTGAGCTGCTGGGTCCTCATTGCTTTTAAAACTCAAACTTCATCTTTAGGACACAAGTGATGACACAGGCCCCACAGCTGGTGCTCCTTGCCCCCCGCCCACAGCCTGCTGTTCCCCTAGACCTTCTGGAGGGGGCCCCCAGCTGGCAGGGCTATGGGGCCAGGGACCCGGGTCTGCAGCCCCCTGCCCCCAGCAGGAGGTGGTGGCTGCTGCAGTGGAGCAGAGGCTGGCTTCCTCCCCGCCTTGCTTACTGCAGGCTTGGGCAGGGGAGGAGCAGGGCCAGCTCCCCACTGCTGCGTGCGTTCTGGAGGGGGCGGGGGGGGGCAGGGGAACCCATGCATGGGCTGCGCACTGTGGGCTTGGGCTCCTTCCCTGCTGTACTCCCCCAGGGCCTCTGCGTCCCTGTGTGTGCAACCCAGTGTTGCAGGGCACAGTGCAGCCGCACAGTAAAGCTGCTTGCCACTTCAAGCTCCGTGCTGCCATGGAGATGCTTCCACTGCACGAGCGAGGTCAGCGGGGGCCACAGTGGGGGGGTTGTATGCGGGGGACGTGTCACCAGGGCAGCGTGGATCTTGCAGTGGCAAGCAGCCTTCCTGTGTGGCCATGCTGTGTCCTGCAGCGCCAAGTCACACATGCTGGGCTACAGAGGCCCTGGGGGAGGGCAGCAGGGTAGGAGCCCAAGCCTGCAGCATGCAGCCTGTGTCCGCCCCCACTCCACACAGATCTGGGAGGCACAGGTCCCCCCTCCTCCCCCAGGCATGTGCGCAGCAGCAGGGAGCCAGCCCCAGCCCTGTGCCCCCTCTTGGCCCCACCCTGGATGAGCTGCCTCTGCTCCCTTCCTGCTCCCTATTGGGGCCCTGCAGCTGTGCACTGCGGCCCTGCACCCCAAGCCTCACACACCAACTGGCTGGGCAGCAGCCCCTGCCCCTGGCCTGCCCAACTCCCTCCCTCCCTCCCTATGGGGAGTCTCAATTTCCAGCCCCCCTGCAACTTACCTGTGGGAGCTGCTTCCCAGGCTGCCTGGGACCACGTGCATATACATGCACATGATGCCCCCTGCTTGAC